GAGCGAGCGAGAGCGCGAGCCCGCTTCTTCCCCGCCCTCCGTGCCTCGAGGGGCCACCTTCCAGCTCAGCCACTTGCTCCGCTGCACCATATTCCGTGAAGCAAGCTGGGTTCTGTGAGCTGCGGGCTCTGAAGGAAGACTGCGGCGAGCAAAGGCGAGATAGAGAAGGGGCTGGTGAGGCCTACCGCCCTCCCCACCCTGTGGGTGACTGAGCCCCTCGGCTCCCAAGTGTCAGACCTAGCTGAGACCTGGCAGATCAGAGCAGAGGGGGTGCTGTTGCGTGGAGAATCCCCTGGATTTGTGTGCGAGGGTCTGTTGTGACTGCCGCTGACACAACACCGACGCCCAAACTGCCTCTCCTCCAAACTCCTTTGCGGGGCAGGGGCTAGGAGAACCAGAAGCGGGGACTCAGATGAGCAGGAGCTGTGCGGTGGGACAGTGTAGGGACTGCATACCTCTGTGAAAGCCCCAGAAAAGACCTGTGCCCTGCACTCCCAGAAAGCACCTTCCCCTTGTGTCTACCCCAAGTATTTCTCAAGTTTCACTCCAACACGAATGTACCAAGGACAGAACTTGGAGACTATTAGCCAGGCCTCACCAACCCTTTGTTTGGCAGTTAACGACAACATAGATTGAGCCTCACACCAGTGCTATATGAGCTTGATCTCTTCCATCCTCTCAACAAACCATCAGGACAATATTACTATTATTATCTCCATCCCACAGAGGAGGAAGCTGAGGCACAGTTAAGTCACAGGTCCAGGAGAGCCAGGATGTGAACCTGGACCCTGCAGCCCCTTGGCCTGGCACTTTCCTACCATGTGGCATTGCCCCCAAGGCCCTCACTTGCCCCCTATCCAGTGCCCAAAGCAGAAATCCCTGCTCATGACCATCTTGGTGGCCTGAGGCATAGCCAACTGACTGGTTGGACCATGTCCCAAGTACCCTTCTCACCTGTTCTATCCTCAATGGGACCCTCCAAGGTTCTGCTATTCCCAGCAGTTGCTCAGGCACACCATCCCTGCTGGCCTGGGCCTCCTGCTCCAGAAACATGAGCTTACTCTTTCTTGGTCAGGCCAGTGCTCTGGGTGTGATGGGAATGGTGCTGGCAGCCAAAGATTCAGGGCCAGGGATGGTGATACAGAGAAGCACAGAGAGTAAGAGGCAAAGAAGCCAGGACAAGGACCAGCTCTTCACAGGGATCAAGTGGGGGACCCTATCCTGCCCATAGTTGGGCGGGCCCCACTGATAGAGGGACATCCAGGCCTTTTCCAGGTTGCTTGAGTGAATCTGGGACTTCCTATAGAGGGGCCTGGGGGAGGCCCCCAGGTTCATGGCCTCTGGGTACAGCAGGGGTTGCAGGGGTCAGGTTGGCTCTTCTCTAGACAAACCCTCCAGGGAGCTCCCAGAGGAACAGAGCTGGGCGGATGCTGGGGTAGGTGTCTGAACACTACCCAGTGCTATCCCTGACGGGCCCATTTCTTTGGCAGCAAACCTGGAGGAGGAGAAAAGAAAGTACCACTTCCAGGTGGCTACTATGGGCCCAGCCCTGCTTGGAGACTTAAGCCCCATATCACAAGAGGCTATCGAGGGCTCTTCCAAGGCTGACAGCCTGTGACTCAGCAAAGTGACCATACCTGTACCCCTGGCCAATGTGAACTGAGCCCTTACTGGATGTCCACAGATATCATCTCACCTAACCTTTTACTCAACCCCTGACACGGGTCTGTCATCAGTCCCTTTCACAGTTGAGGACTCAGGATCAAAGAGGTGTGGTCACCTGCTTAAGATCATATAATTAGCATGTGACACAGCCAAGGCTTGCTCCCAGGCCTCAGAAGGCCTTTCTAAGGCTGGGTCCGGGTAGGTTATGGGGGCACGAAGGCAAGCTCATCTGGATCTTGCACTGGCCCACCCAGTATGGCACCCAGAGGCAGTTCCAGCATGCTGAGTGGCTCCAGCTGAGCTTGTCCTGGATTCCTGAACCCCACAAATGCCTATTCTTCTTGGGACCATTGGTCCCACAGTCTGTCTCTAGACGGAAGCCTACCTGCATCCCTCCTCTGCCCTCATCATAGTGTGGCCTCCATAATCCTGAGGGCCAGGAAAGTGCTGCCTGCTGTCTAATCTAAATCGTTCTTGCTCCTGTAACACCAGCCCCACTCTAAAGCAATGGCTCTGAACAAGGGGTGATTTTGGGCTGCCATGAGATATTTGGCAGTATCTGGAGAAATTTTTATCTGTTACAACTTGAGGGAGTGCTACTGGCATCTAGTGTAGAGGCCAAGGATGCTGCTAAACATCCTACAATGCACAGGACAGCTCCTACAACATAGAATTATCTGGCCCAAATGTCAGTAGTGCTGAGATTGAAAACTCCTGAAGTAAAACATGGGCTTTGGAGCCAGCAGACCTCAGTTGGAATCCTGCATCTGTCATTTACTAGCTATGTACCCTTCACCAAGGGGCTTTATCTTTCTTTGAAAGACTCAATTTGTCCATCACCAAAAGTGACACTAATAGTGGCCCTCATCTTAAGGGGTCTTGAGGACCACACATATTCACACATTCAGTACCCAGCAAAGGGCCTGGCGCCAGGGATCTCCATCAGTGACAGCCATTATTCTTACTTTCCATTTTCCAACGTGAACTTAAGGTGTGGGGATAAAAGGCTGATGGCAGAACCTGGAGTTCCCCATGGGTCAGCCCTCCCTTCAGTGGTCCCTGGCACTGAGTCAGCCTATTGTTGATCTTCTAGAAGAGGCTGGGTTGGCCACTGGATCTGGAGGGGAGGAGCCAGAAAGGAAACTTGATCCCAGGTGGGCAAAGGTCACCTGAAGCTCACTTCTGGCTCACCCTTCTCTCCAGCCCCACCCCAGGGAAGTCACAAGATGGGGGGGGGGAGGGGAGGACCAGGACACGAAACACACTAATGAATTCATAGAAATATGGTTTCTTACCTCAAGGAAGTGCCATAGATTACAGCTGGGCTCAGGAAGGAGTAGCATTTGAGTGAGCACAACCTAGACAGGTAGCGATATGGGGGTGGGTGGGAAATGGCATCCTGGCCCCTAGAACAGCATGTTCAAAGGTCTGGTTGTGCGATAAGGCATAATGCCTATTTCCCAAATGATAGTTCAGCATGGTGAGAGGAGTCCAGCTTTGTGGAGTCTACCCCAGTAGGGTGGGGGGCAAGGCATCAGGGCTGGGAACCTGAACATTAATCGTTTTCCAACTAGGTCATCCTTCTCAGGTATAGAGCACCAGGGCCCCTTCTCTCTGTGGCGGGAAGAGTCATTACAGTTTTCCTCTTTGCAGTCCAGACACTTCCTCCTCCCGCCGCCTCCACACAATAAAACAGAATTTCAGGATCCGCATCTCTGCCAGGGCTCTCAACATCCCCACCCCCCATTTACACGGCCCGGTAACCTACCCACCTTACCCAACCCAGGGTCTTCCCACCTGAACAATGTGACAGCCCTTCTGCCCCATCCAGCCCCTCCCTTCTCCTGACCCTCTGCCCCATTGATGCCCCCAGGAGCCCAATCCGTTGTAACAGCTGCCACCACCACCTGCTTCTTGAGAAAACTAGTTAGCTCAGGCCTCCTCAAGATTGACCCCACCCCACTGCGATTTTCATCCCTTGCTGTTCAGCTGGGAAGAGCTGTCTGGACTTTTCCTCATCCCCTCTAGGTGTTGCCCCGGGAGGCCTGGGACCTGGACCCTCTTCTTTGTCTCTGGAAAGTGACATATTTTTGGAGCACAGAGCCAACGGCTTCACTTTCTGAGCTTTGGAGGCAGGGGGCATGGACTCCCTGGACCCCGCTCCGTCCCCAGACTTCAGCGCAGGGAAGACTCAGTGAACGAATGAATGAACAAATGAATGAATGAGTTATGCCTGACAGCCCAGTTCCAAGTCCGGAAAGGAAGCTTAGGCGCCTGCCAGGGGCGATGGAGAGCTCTGGAAAGCCGGGCCAGGAGAGCGGACGACTGTGGGATCGGGGTAGGGGTTGCTCTCAGAAGCGTCCGACCAGCAGCGGCAGACCAGTTAGAGCCTCCCGCCCTGGAGTCTTCCCAGCTCGTCTAGGGGCAGGGCCGGGACCAGCCGGCCTGGCGGCGGGCACCGAGCCCCGCCGCGTCCGCACTCCAGCCAACAGGAAGAGAAAGAGAGAGGCCTGGCGAGGCGGGCCAGCTGGCTGGTGGGGAGTCCCGGGCGTGGGCGCCGGGATCTGGGGAACCCCCGCCGGCGCCTCCCGCCTGCGTGCTTCGGGATGGGGGCGGGGGTAACGCCCCCCTCCGTCGGGCCTCAGCGTCCTCTGTAAAATGGGGCCCTTTCTAAGGGCTGGTAAGTGAGCTGATGGGGGGTGGGGGTCGAGGTGTGAGAGGAGGGCAGAGAGGCCTAGACACCGTGGTTGGAGCAGAGAGGCGGAGATGCTCGACCCCCGGCTCCCAGCGTGCGGAGGCGAGGCCTTCGAGGGGCGGGCCCTGATCCGGGGGCGGGCCGGGGCCGGCACCTGGGTGAGGTCGCGCCGCCCCGCCCCCTTGCACTTCCGTGTGCAGCGGCGCGGGAGCCGGAGGCGGCGGTCCTGGGATCCTCGGAGCTAACCCCGGCACCCGCCGGCCGCGCCAAGGCCGGGACGGTACTTCACCCGCCGCCGGGCCCGTCCGGTCTGGTCCCACCAAGACCCACGTCTGAGCGCACGCCCAGCAGCTGCGCCGGGAGCCGGACCCCAGCTGCCGCGACCCCTGGAGCTTAAGCCCTGTGCCTGGAGGTGAGTGAGGACCGAGTCCGAACGTGGGACCCGAGCTACCCCCCGGGCTCGCTGCCCCTCCTTTCCCCCTCCCCTCTCTGGTTCCCGTTTCCGAAACTGAGAAACTGATCCGCCGCCAGCGAAAGTGCCGCCGCACCCCGGGACCCGCCGGTGCCTCCGTACTCCCGTCTATCTGTCCCTCCGTTCAGCGGCAGTGGCCTAGGCCCTCTCGTCCGTCTGCTCCCAGCCCCTCTACCCGCCTGTGTCCCCAGCTCTTCTGAGCGTCCACCCGTCCCTCCCGAATCTCTGGGGCCCTCTGTCGGTCCATCTGTCCCCACCCACCCCCTTCTCCCGTCCTCCTCTCCCTAGTCCCTATCTGTCCTTCACCCTCCCCATACCCCTTCGCCCCCACCCCCAACCTCCCACCGTCCCCTAGATCTCGTCCTCCGGGAGCCGCGCCCCCGGCCCACTCCCGCCGCCCCTAGCCTGTCCAGCCGCCTCTCCTTTTCTGCAGCGGGGCCCAAGCCAGGCAGTCAGCCGGGCCTCGCCTCCCGGCCCCGGGTCCCAGCCCCGCCCGCGGGGTGCCTCCTCCTCGCGCTGTCTCCTTTCAGTCTCAGTGTCTCTCGGTCTCTCCATCTGTCTCCGAGCTGGGCGTGGCTCCAGTCTCCATCATCCCCCTTCCCGTCTCGCCCTTTTGCTCCTCTGAGCCCCCTACACTGGTGGCCTGCTCAAGAACTTGTCTGTCCCAGGCCCCTCCCCAATACAGACGCCACGCCTGTGGGCTCCTAGGCTGGTGAGGGAGGTGGTGGAGGAGAGCAGGGTGAAGAGGAAGGAGGTGGGCACCTTCAGAAGTGCCCCACTTCCCCAACTCCACCAGTGAGCCCCCCACTTAAACCCGATCAGAAGGATTTGCTGTGAGTGCAGAGTTGTCCCCTTTCTCCTCTGGCCCCTGCCCTGTATGTATGGATCCTGTCTTGAGCTGAGTGGCTTGTATCTAGGCGTGTAGGTATGTTGTGTGTCTGTGTCGGCTTGGGTGTTCTTTATCACTGTGTCTGGAGCTTGCCCCTGTGAGTCCTTTTTCTCATGTATGATTTGCCTGTGTGTGTGTGTGTGTGTGTGTGTGTGTGTGTGTGTGTGTGTGTTTGGGTTTTCTGAGGTTCTGTGTACCCTTTGCAACTATGTGTGTTTGGAAGGTCCTATGTTGCACAGGATGTGTCATGGTGACCCAATGACTCGTGCGTATATTAAGGTTGTTAATTGTGGGAACCCCTGGTATTAGGGTTCCAGCCCACCAGGCTCGTGTGTGTGTTTGTGTGCGCACACACTCACATGTTGTTCTTCCTCTCCCTCTGCCACTGAGCTGCTGTAATCAGGCTGACCTAGTCACCAAGAGAGGGGACTGTTCCGTTGGGTTTCCTTGTTCCTGCTGTGAACTGAGTTGGGGTGTAGTGGACAGGCCAGTAGAGGGCAGCTGTGGAGTGAGAGAGAGAGAGTGTGTGTGTGTGTGTGTGTGTGTGTGTGTGTGTGTGTGTGTGATATGGAGGTGCTTGGACAGCTTTACCTGGCTGTAGGGTGTTGTAAGGGATCTGGTGTGTGACAGGACTGGGGCAGGGGGCAAGATGTGGTGTGGGCCTATGACTGGTGGGAGACTCACAGTCTGACTGTATGAAACTGTGAGTATGTGTGCTAGGGGAGTAACTGTGATTGTGGGGAACTGAGAGTGCTTGGGCGTGGGTGTCAGGAGCAAGAGGGGATGAAACAAGGTGTGTGGTGCCTGTGCCCTGGGGTGACAGTGCTGGGAGGAAAGGTGAGAGCCACAATGTGTGTGGGTGTGAACGCATCATGCTCTAGCCTAGCCCGGGCTCCTGGGGAGACCTTCATTTCTCACCTTCCTCTACTCGCCCAAGTTGCCAGACATCAGAGGACAAGTCTTGGGATTTGTAGTGTTGTGACCAAGACCTTGGACCCTGAACCCAGAAAAGACTTGGACTTAAAAATTGCTGTGCCTATTACGAGCAAGAGACGAGAACTAGGCCTCTCTAAGTCTCTTTTCTTATCTGCAGAGTGGAGAAAGTTGTGAGGACTAGAGATCCTGTGTCAAAGGTCCTTTAGCCCATAGTGAGAACTCAGCAACACATGCTAAGTCTTATTTGGTGACCACCTCCCCCCAACTGTATGGTCCCTATTCTCCTGGGAGCTGGGGCTAATAAAAGCCCAGATAGTCCCCCAACCCAGTTTTCTCCTGGGGATCTTGTCTGTTGTCTCCCTCCCATCCCCTTGACCAGACTACTTGTGGAAGGGAAGAAGACTGACAGAAACCCTACCAGCCCTGTTCATTCCACATGACACCCCTCCCCCCAGTCTCAGCAGCAGTGGTGGAGAGAGTGGCGAGGGATGATTTGGAGCTGTGACTGCAGGGCACTGACACCGTTTAGCTGGCACAGCTAATTGGAGTTTAAATTAAAATTAGAAATAACTTAAAGTACAGACAAAAAGATAAAGCCTGAGGATGTCTCAGTCCCTAGGTAATGGTGACAGGGGTCTTCAGCTGGAGTAGGGGCTCACATCTGGAGAAGGGCATCTTTTGTGGAGGCCTGGCATGCAGAAAACGTACTCAGGTCTTTCAGCCAGGACACCCAGGGCACCTTGCCGCCTTTGCTATTCCTTCCTTCCAGGAGCTCCCTGGGCCTCAGCTTTAGTATAATGGGCACAACAGTAATGTGAGAACCACCTCTACTAGAAGGTGCAAAACAAGAAACAAACAAATATCACTATTCACTTGGCACCTTCAATATGAGTCCAACACAGGAACTGGCATGCCACATCATTGGAGTCTGGGAACCACCTGGGGAGATGTATTCTCCCCATTTTAAGGATGAGACAAACTGTGGCTCAGGAATTGCCCCAGGCCATAACGCAGTGGTACCTGATTGCACCCTAAGCCTCCCAAGCCCACAGGACAACCTCTTGCATACAGGATTAGCTTCGAAGGGCTCTGAGGGCTGAGACAGTATTCCTGCCCCTAGCACGGAGCGGACATATAGCCAGTGCTCTGGAAATGTTGGGCTCAACACCCCATTTCACAGAAGAGAAAGCCAAGTTCAAAGAAGCCTAAGGTCAGAGTCAGATTAGGCTGAGCCAGACCTCTGTCAGTCATGCTGGGGCTGAATGATGATGAGCGCCTGTTTGGCGATGCCTCCCTGCTCAGCTGTTTTCTCTTGTTCTGCAGGTCGGCTGGGAACTGACTCAGGTGAGGGCTGCAGGCCTGCTTCTCCTGGTGATTGTTGTATGGTGTTGGTGGCAGCCGGAGCCAGGACTAAGGGCAAGGGGGAGCCAGGAGTCCCAAGTAAGACTACGTCCTCTTAGACATATGGACAATGGACAGGGTGGACTTCCTCTTTGGGCTCCTTTCTTTCCACCCTGGGACTCAGTTGGGGTAAGGGACGGCACACAGCGTCCTCAGTCTAGGTGTGGGGCCCGGGTGCCCAAAGGGACAGAAGTTTGCCCTGAGTATGAGTGCTTCCTGCCTGGAACTGGCTTCTCCCCCAGGAAAAGCTTTGGCATTGGAGCTTAGAAGCCTGGGGGCTCACCAGTGGTTTAGGATGAAGAGTCGTGACACTTTGCTGGTCAGTTAGAGAGAAGGTGGTGTGTGAGCCAAGGGTTGAGGGTGGATGTCTCAGCATTTCCAGGTCCCTAGTCTCTGCTTCAGGCTGTCCTCATCATCACACAGGGAAACTGAGGTTTGCCCTGGGCTGCACAGTAGGTGGGACACCGAGCTAGGAATGGAACGAAGTCTTCCAGCTCTTGACATTACTGAGCTCTCTTACACACCCCTGTTCCCCCATTTCCCCAGCTTCTCTGGGGCCAAAGGAGGGACTCTAAATCCCCCTCCCCAGCTCCCAGATTCAGGGTGAACTGGGCTGTCACTAAGGAATGTTAGGGAAGTCTACCATCTCTGAGGTCCTTCATAAAGCTAGAAATTCCTTCCTTTGGGGCCAGCCTTTCCTTCTTCAGCCCCCATTGCAATGAATACAGCCCTGTGAGTTACCCATTGCATGTCCAGAGCCCAGCGAGCAGGATTTGGGGGGGCATGGCAGGGAATGCTGAGGGTACCTGGAACCTAGATAGTGACAGCGGTCGGGAAGGATGGCAGCGGTTGTCTTTTCTCCAGGAGTCCTCCCTGAGCAATCCCCGACTCTCAACCCTGAATGACTCTCAAGCACCTAAAGGTCTTGGGGGTAAATAGACAAGTGGGCCTAATTAGGGCAGAGGGATGCAAGAGGGCAAGGCCTTCACTCCTACGGTGAGAGTTGGGGCTGAACAAAAGCAGGGTCTCCAGTGGGTCTTCTGTTTATTCAACCTACTGCAAGTCTGGTGAGGAGGAGGTGACATGCCCTTGGCTGGCCAAGGTCAGGGGCCCATCCCCTCCCAGCACTGAGCCTCATTCCCTAAGAAGTTTAATTAATTAGCCTTGGAGCCAGCCCCCTTTCAACTCTCACGTCTTACCCACCTAGCTGCATAGACATACGTACTATGCTCTCACAGGGATACAGAAACTGAGGCAGTACCTGGCACCCACGATCACAAACCCATGTGCCTACACGTGCACATGTGCACACACATCCATACACAGGTGTTCATATGCACTCACCCACAGGCACGCTCAAACATGCACATAGACGCTCATCCAGTCATCCTTGTGTTCAGATGCCTGCCCACATACACCACACTGAGCCGTTCTGGGTCAGGAAGCGGGTAGGGGGTCCTTGGACAGGGTCACAGCCCAGCCTGTGTCTGGTACTGAGGGCGAGGTGAGGTTTGAGGTGTAGCTATGACCACAGGTGCTCAAGGGGGCTGGACCACACTGGGAGATGTGCCCAGGCATTCACCGGTTATCCTGCCCACGTGGCCTCAGCCCCCAGGCTGACCAGGGCTTGGCATTAAGATGGTGGAGCATGGGGAGGGGGAGGGGGCCATGTCAGCTGTGCTGGCACTGTTTATGGCTGCTGCCACAGAGGAGGAAGTGGGCTGCCTGTGGTCATGGGGCCAAGGTGCTCACAGGCTAGTGGGGGGGTCCTATCAGCTCTTTAGTCCCCCCACAGTGTCCATGCCTGTAGAAATGGAGTAGCTGGGCTCTGAGGACTGGAAGGCAGAAAAGGTACTTCTTCTGGGTGGTCTGTGCACTTTCCAAGGCCTGGGCCCAGGGGAGAGGCCCATCCATCCGAGGTGTTTCCGGAGGCTCACTTCCTCTGGGCTGCCCAGGAAGTGGTTTCAAGATGGGACTGACCAGCTCTCCTTCTGTGGCTTGCTCCACCCGGGCCTTGCCTGCGAGGGGAGCAGTGGCTGGCCAGTGGATTAAGCAGACTGGCCAGGCTTTCCACTGTCCAGGCTAGCCAGGCCTTGACAGAGGGAGGCCCAGGGAGAGGGGCTGAGGCCGTGAAGCCCCCTACAGGCCCCACAATCCTGGCTCCTCCTTTGCTCCAAGCCTATAAACTGAGGCTTAGAGCGTTAGCTGTGGCAGGCACAGCCCCCTTGTGTGTGAGTGGCCATGGCTGGGCTGCACCTCTGGGATGAGGCCGTTCCAAACCACTGTATGAATGAACCTGGGCAAGTGGCTTTGACGTTCAGTGCCTGTTTCCCTCTCTGACAAATGAGACATTGCTAGCATCCACCTTTTTTGGGTTGTGCCAGAAACAACAGAAAATATATGCAAAGTAGCTAGCACTGTGCCTGGTACATTGTTCGTATTTAAGGAGTAGAAACTGTAGTTATATAAAGCACTTAGCACCCGGTTCATGGTAACTTTAAAAAACAGCCAATAGTACAGCTGATGAGGTTATTATATCCGATGGCCTGGGCATTGGCTCAGTGTCACAGGGCCAGGTGGCTGCAGAGCCTGGCTGAGAAGCCAGGTCTCTGGTTCCCTCATCCCACCTTGATTCTCCCTCCGTAGGCAATGTTGCAGGATGGGGAGGGTTCCGTGGGTTCAATAGGTTCCTTCCATGTCCTCTGAGGAGAGGAGGTCCAGGGTAGATGGAGCAGCTGTGCCCATTCAGTGGCCCAGCCCTTTCCTGCTCTTCTCCCCCTCACTCCTGTTCAAAGGGAAAAAAATAACGCTCGTGACAAATAGAAGGGAAAGGCAGTCCGCAGCTGCCTGCTGCCCCCTCAGGCCTCCCGTGAGTCCCCTCCCCTGCTCTGGCCCCCCCCACAGGACATTCGGATTGGAGAAGCTGAGGCTGATGATGAGGGGTGGATAGTGTGCCCTCCTGCCAGCCTTCCTTACCCTTCACACCCCTGGAGTCAGCCTTTGGGTTGGGGCTGATGAAAGCTGGAGGAGTGAGGGGAGCTAAAAATGCCCCCTACACACACATCCTTGACAAATGGCAGCTGATGGCAGGGACCTGCCTGTCCCAGGGACATGCACAAGGTCAGCCCAGTGAGGGTTGAGCTGAGCTTTGGCCTTCACTACTGGGGGCCAAGAGGCTGGGAGCCTTGGGTGTTGAAGTAGTAATGATGGTGGGTTAGTTGTCAGGGGCCAGGAGGCTGAAGGGCTGGAGATTGACGGGGGCCTGGGCCAAGAGGATGAATGAGGGCGTCCTGGAGGTTTAGGAGCAAGGCCTCTGCAGGCATTCGACAGACTTGGGTTCAAATTCTCTCTGGATATTTACTCTGGCGGTGTACTCTTGAGCCAGGGACTGGACTGCTTTGAGCCTCAGTTGCTTCACCTGTAAAATGGGCAGATCAGGGAGTGTCCATCTGAGACCTGAAAATGAGAAAGAACCAGTGTGTGTTTTGGAGACGGGGCCCGGGAGATATAACGGCAAATGCAGAGGCTTCTAAGCAGGATGGAACGTGGTTGTTCAGGGAACTAAGAGAGATCATTGTGGCTAGGGCAGAGGAGTGAGGGAGGGCAGTGGCAGAGGAGGTCAGGGAGCAAATGGGAACTGGGTGAGGTAGGTCAGGAAGAGGTGTCTGGGCTTATCAGAGGGGAAACAGGAAACACTGGGGGCTTGGGTAGGGGGTGTCAAGATCTGCTTTATTGTCTTAAAAGACCCACCTAATCCTGGCGCAGAGGGACTGTGGGGGCCAGAGCAGAGGATGGAAAGCAGTGAACAGGCAGGAGCAGCACCTGGGGAAGATGATGGGGCCAGGATGGGGGCAACGGGCAGAGAGAAGAGAGGACTTCAGGCTAGACCACAGAGGCGGAAATGATAGTGTCACTGTGCGGGGAGAGAGGGGGAGGAGGACAGTGACCCCCAGGTGTCTGGTCTGAACAACTGGGCAGGCACTGGTGCTGCTAGGAGATGGAGGCACTTGCGTGGGAGACCGGCAGTAGATCTGTTTTGGATGTGTTTGAGCACCTCTAGAGCGGGATGAGGTCAGGGAGGTAGGTGGGTTCCAGAGGGTCTGGGCCGAAAGTGAAGAGCTGAGAGTCAGCGGTAGTGTGCACAGCCCAGCATGGGAAGGATTCAGTGGGCCTTTGCTGGGAAGTTCGAGAGGCTCTGCGTCCAGGTCCAGGCTGGCTGTCCCTCGAAGGTTCCTGCCAAGGTGCCCAGGAGGGCAGGTTTGTGGTGGCTGAGCTGCTGTTTTCACAACAGCTCCGGAAGCTTTGGATCATGTCTATGGCTGTGTTGGGTAAACAGGTGCAGTGGAGCAGCCAGTTGCCAAGGCTCAAGACCAGATCAGATGTCTGCTTGGTGTGGGCTGTGGGTTCTGAGGGCTGGTGGGGGTGGGGGGAGATAGGAGGAAGATTGTAGGGTCTTCTACCTAGTATCAGGGCTGGAGAAAGCTTAGAGGTGTCTATCGTCAAGATAAGGAAACTGAGGCCCTGAGAAGGACAACAGCTGGCCTGGGGTCTGCCAGCGGACTCAGGCTGTCTTTGCCCAGGCCAGTCTCGTCCCAGAGCAGCAGACCAGAGCAGGGCACTGCAGGGCTGAGTGGAAATGGGCAGCAGGATGGGTTGGGAGAGGGCCAGGTGTAAGGATGACAGTGGTGATAAAGATGATGGTGACAGGTGCCTCAGTGCCAGGAGCTGCACTCAGCACAACCTCCTCGGCAAACGAGATCAATCATTTTTACATATGACGCCAGAGCACCTTGGCCAAGCTTGCAGGGCACCCAGGGAAGACCAGATCTGAACTAGACCTGTCCAGCCCACACCCAGGCCCTCACTCTCCAGTTCCTCTGCCCACTGCCTGCCGTGGGATGGCACACTACAGGCCTGCCTCTCTCAGGCTTTCTCCTGATCCCCAAAGTGAAGAGGCACCATCTGGGCCCTCTCCCCTTGTGGGGATAGATGGCAAAAGCCTTAGGTGGCCATCTCACTTTCCTCCAAACACAGAGATG